AACAGCTAGCACTGACTCTTCATCTATGTGAGTGAGACATTTGGGAAGCCCCAGTCACACCCTCAGAGGACTGCAGTCCTTGCCACTATCTTGACTGAAACCTCATGAGAGAGCCCGAGTCAGAACCAACTAGCCAAACGACTCCAGAATTCCTAATTCTTAGATACCGCATGACATAATAAATGTTTATTATTGTTTTAAGCCACTAAGTTTTAGAGTAATATGTTACACAGCAATAGATAACTAATATAGGTACATAAACATTTGAATACCTGTACAGAGAAAAATTTGGATAAACTTTAATCCTCTTGGGAGGGAACTGGCTTTGGGCGGCTACTCTAATCTTATCTATAATTTTTAATAAGGACAGTGTAAGATAGAAAAATATGTGCTATGTAAATATTAATTAAAAGAATGTCCACTAAGAAATAACAAGTGTTGGTGAGGATGTGGATAAAAAGGGACCCTCATGCACTTTTGATGGGAATGAAAATCAGTGTAGCCACTGTGGAAAACAGTATGGAGTTTCCTCAAAAAATTAAAATTAGAAATATGATATGATCCAGTAATTCCACTACTGGGTATTTACAAAAAGAAAAGGAAAACATTAATTTGAAAATATACATGCACCTCTACGTTTATTGCAGCATTATTTACAATAGCTAAAATATGGTAGCCACCCAAGTGTCCACTGATAGATGAATAGATAAGATGTGATATGTATGTACAATGGAATATTATGCAGCCACGAAAAGGAGGGGATCTTGTCATTTGTGACAACATGGATAGACCTAGAGGGTATTATTCTGCTAAGTGAAATAAGTCAGACTGAGAAAGACAAATACCATATGATTTTACTTATATGTAAAATTTAAAAAACAAAACAAATAAGTAAGCAAACAAAAAGCAGAGTCAGACCTATAAATACAGAGAACAGATTGATGGTTGCCAGAGGGAAAGGGTAGGGGTGTGGGGGAAATGGGTGAAGGGGAATGGAAGATACAGCCTTCCAGTTATGGAATGAATAAGTCACAGGAATAAAAGGTACAGTATAGGAATCTAGTCAATGTTGCAATAGCATTGTATGGTGACAGATGGTAGCTACACTTGCGGTGAGCATAGACTATTGTATAGGGAAGTTGAATCACTATCTTATACCCATGAAACTAATGTAACATCGTGTGTCAACTATACTGAGTTTTAAAAATTTGTAAAAATAAAAGAATGTCTATTAACTGATGTAGAAAAAAAAGTGTGGTATCCATACAATGGAATATTTTTTGGCCATAAAAAGAGATGGAATACTGATTCATGCTTATAATATGGATGAAACCTGAAAATGTTATGCTAATTGAAAGAAGCCAGGCACAAAAGGCTAAATAAAACCTGTAATGTAATAAATACTTATTGTTTGGGGCCACTAAGTCCCAGGGGGGAATTTGTTACACAGCAATAGATAACGAATGCAGTGGGTTTTTAAGAATTAGTATGAATAAGAGAATATATGTGAAACATCTAACACATAGAAGGCCACCATAATAAATAGTGGCTAGTATGAGTGGGGAAAATGTCCTCCAATTCCAGAGATTATCTCTTTTTTTTTTGTTTTTAAAGATTTTATTTATTTATTTGAGAGCGAGAATGAGAGAGAGAGAGAGCATGAGAGGGGGAGGGTCAGAGGGAGAAGCAGACTCCCTGCCGAGCAGGGAGCCCGATGCGGGACTCGATCCCGGGACTCCAGGATCATGACCTGAGCCGAAGGCAGTCGCTTAACCAACTGAGCCACCCAGGCGCCCCTCCAGAGATTATCTCTTGTGGGCAACCAGGGATGAGGAGAAGAGTGGGGCCAGGGCCTCGGCCTTTGCCCCAGCTGGACATAGCCTCTCCGGGTCACTCTCTGTTTGCCCTCATCCTTTATCTCGACCTACCTCCTTTTTAGGGTACTCTCACTTTGTTGAGTAGAGTTATGTAAATAGAGTTATACAGTATATGGCTAGCATTCAACTAATAGTTATCTATAGAACTAATATAGATTAGCTATATAAATACCCCTTAGTATTTATATGGCTAGAGGGCAAAGCCTTGTCTTGTTTACTTCTGCCCAACCAATACAGTGCCTTGCACATAGCAGACGCTCAGTATATGCGAAAAGAACAAATGAAGAATAACATAGGAAACAGCTATTGAACCGAAAAAGAACGACACACATATGCTGACCTAGCTCACTTCCAGGAACCCATCAGAAAGTGGGTGTAAGGGAGAAAGCCATAGATCCAAGGATGGTTATTGCAACATTGCTTGTAACAGTTGAGAAAGAAAACTTGGAAACAACCAACTATCTATCCTTAGGGGTGAATAAATTGTGTTACATCCATACTCTGGAATGTTATGCAGCAATTCAGAAAGAATGAGTGTCTGTCCACTGACTTGATGTTGGGTGAGATGAGCAAGGGCCCAAGACATGCGTATGGCATGATCTTACATTGTCAAACAAACGTGACCAAAGCACCCTCTCAATAGGATATGTGTGTGTGGACGCAGCTGTGTGAGTGGAGTTGAGGTAGAGCGACGCCCAAGTTGCTAGTATTGAGGGGAGCTCAGAGGAGATTAATTACTTTTTCAAGTGCACAATTGTCTCATTAGATGCAATAAACATGAGTTACTTTTGTGATTTTTGAACAGTTTAGTAAAATTCGGAAGGAAACCAATGGAAACCTTGGGTCTAATTGTCCCTATTCTCAGTCACCTAGAGGTGGATCCTGGATCTTTTATCAGCAAGTCAGGTGAGGGGAAGGTGGACCCACTTCACCCTCAGTTTTGAGGTCCACCACCCCTTGCGTTTTTTGTTAAACCAGGTGAGAGTCACCCATTTTCGACAGGAAACCCCTTTTTAGCTTTAGAGCCAACAGCCTCCAACCCCTGCTAGCAGGCAAAGACTAATAAGAGAAGGAACTCCCTTTCTCCCGTCCTGCATCTGACCTGGGGATGAACTCTGTCCTGTTCTCTAGGGAGAGGTCTCTTTCCTATCCAGAGGAAAGAAATGTCTGTGGCTACGGCCTCTTTCCCAGGGGAAGCGCATATGGCCAGTGTTTCTCTAACCTAATTGTGAACACAATCCTTTTAAAGGGAAAAAATTCCCAGCACTCCCAGTGTTGACGAATTTTGTTATAATATTACTTAAGTGTGTATAAGCATAAAACTAGGTATAAATGTATGCTTATAGTTCTTATGTGACTATGAAACCGAAAGCAAATTGGCAAAATTACAAAACCTATAAAATTCAAACAAACGACACTAATGCGATCTTTTCCTCTTTCCGTGTCTAAGTCACACTTGCTGCCAGGAACGCGTGCCTACCAGCCACAGCGGGGTTGCAATACCTAGCATGCTGTCCTGGGCTGGGCCAGGAGGACCACTCACCTCTGCCCCCACTTGGCTTGATGTGAGCCCCCACAAATCCTCCCTTCTAACGGTGCTTCTTGGGGTCATTTGGCTTTTCCAAATGAGCGCACTTTCCTCTCACTGGCTCTGAATAACGAAAGAAGCCAAAGCTACCAGGGACAGAAACAGGGACGTTAAAATGGCGAGCAAGCGCTTAGTTTTAAAGTGAACACCCAGCATTCACTACAAAAAGAAAGTTATCATCACCACGACATGCATGGGCCTTGAGGGTATTCATCTAAGTGAAGTAAGTCAAGCAGAGAAAGACAAATACTGTATGGTCTCACTTATATGTGGAATCTAAAAGCATCAGACTCATAGAGCAGGGAGTAGAGGGGGGTGGCCAGGGGCTGAGGGGGTGGGGGAAATGGGAGATGTTGGTTAGAGGGTACAAACTGCAGGATTTAGGATGACTAAGTGCCAGGATCTAATGTGGGGCACGGGGACGTTAGTCGACAGTACTGTATACTTGGAAGTTGAGACATGTAACATGTGGTGATTTGATACATGTATTTAATGGCAGGAGAGCTTGGAATGTCCTCACCACCACCACCACCACAAATGGTAATTGTGTGAGGTGGAGGGTGTATGAACTACCCTATTGTGGTCAACATTTCCCACTAAATACATGATTCAAATCACCACATGTTACAAGTCACAAAGTTACTTACACAATGTTATATGTCAATTATATCTCAATAAAGCTGGGGAAAAATTACTAAATGAAAACATAAAGTAAAAAATTATTCTAGTTGAATTCTTGTAACCCCAAGAACACTTGAGTCAAACCGATGTAGGGGAAGAGGGGCAGACTCAGAGGCTGCCGTCCCCATCTTCCCATCTGCCCCTTGGCTGTCGTGTGTATTTGGGCAGACGACCTTGCTCAGGCTCAGTTTCTTCATCTGCAAAATAGAGATAGTAAAACTTACTCCTCAGAGTTCCTATGAGGGTTTATTTTTAAAAAATTTTTTAAAGATTTATTTATTTATTTATTTTCGAGAGAAAGGGAGAGAAAGCAGGGGGAAGGGCACTGGGAGGGAGAGAGAGAATCTTAAGCAGACTCCCCTCTGAGCGTGGAGCCCAATGTGGGGCTCCATCTTACAACCCTGAGATCATGACCTGAGCCGAAATCAAGGGTCAGGTGCTCAACCGACTGAGTCACCCAGGCGTCCCACCTGTGAGGGTTTAAATAAATGAAAGAGTGCATATGAAAGTGCTTGACAGGTTACCAAGAATAATAGAAATATCAGCTATTAATCTTAGTGGTGGGGCACAGTGTGCTTTGAAGTCACCTTGTAATTTGGCCAGGTTTCTTATGGTAGCTTCAGTTCTCTCATCTGTAAAGTGGGGATGAAAACTATTACCTCTCAGAGTAAGTGATGATGCAGTTTATGTATTAATTCAGCAGATGTTGGAGGACGAGCTGCTCTGTGCAGGGCACATCGTTTTTCTTCCCATCTCTCTCCAGGCCTCATTTTGCATCTAGAAATTGTAGTGTTTAGACTGAATGCTCTTTGGTCCTGCCACCCTGGCCTTACGCTTTGGGTCTCTCCCCGCAGTGACAATCAATCAATCAATCAATCAATCCAAACTTACTGATCATCACCCAAGTGCCCCATGCTGTGAAAGCTACGAAGTGGAACTCAAATCAACATTTACCAAGCACCTACTTCTTACTTTCATCATCGCTGAGCATAATCAAGAGTGCTCAGTTTTTAAAAGAAAGGTTGTCAAGAAAACTCAACTCTGTGTCCGCGGAACATTTTGCGCACAGAAGAAATGCGGTTGAACGGGCACGGGGAAGCAGCACCATCTTCTGGCTGAAGTGGGTAATGCCGCACTGCTGCGGGAGCGGGGAGCTGGTTCTCTTAGGGGCGAGAACCCTCTGAAGAGAGCTCCCCAAGAGGCTGCCTGAGTGTGTGTGTGTGTGTGTGTGTGTGTGTTACATACCACTCTGCTTTTCCAAATTTGCTGTCCGCCACCATCAGAATTTTAGCCTGAGGATGGCTGAGGCATCCTGGCCTCTGGAATGAGAGGGTTGCTTTGAGGAAATCTAATCCACACCATCCCCCGCCTGCCCGTGGCAGATAGGGGAATCAGGCTCAGAGAGGTGAAGGGCTGGCTCAAGGTCACCCTGCCATGTAGTGGCAGTGGCGGGACGGGAACCAGCACTCCTGACTCTTCATTCAGGACTTTTCCCTGGACCCCAGCTAGAGACCACTTTCCTCCCGAAGGCTGTAACTTTTGGCTTTTTTTTTTTTTTTTTTAAAGATTTTATTCATTCATTTGAGAGAGAATGAGAGACAGAGAGCATGAGAGGGAGGAGGGTCAGAGGGAGAAGCAAACTCCCCGCCGAGCAGGGAGCCCGATGCGGGACTCGATCCCGGGACTCCAGGATCATGACCTGAGCCGAAGGCAGTCGCTCAACCAACTGAGCCACCCAGGTGCCCACTTTTGGCTTTTTTTAAAGCCATAATCTCTTTGAAGTGGATGTGCAATTCGGAAAAAGTCATTTGGTTGTTGGGGAGCGAGGGTGGGGAGTTGAGGGAAATACCATTTATTGAACATGCTATGTGCCAGGCACTTCATATGTCTTATCTGAAACTCCATCATCTGTGCAATGGGGGTGAGAATTGGCAGCTGTTTTAAGGGGTCATTATAAAGTAATATAAATGGAGTAATATATGTAAAATGCTATCATATGTAAAGTTGCTGGAATATAGTAACTACTCCATAAGTTTTAGCTTTAGTTAGATTTTCTGTGATGCAGTGAAGTTACTTATAAACAGTCTGATTGGTTTAGATCTTGCTTTTAGGAGGCAGGTCTGGAGGAGTGGTCCATCTAGGACTAAGTATTCCCCACTACAGAGGCGTGACCTGCCTGAGTATTCTACTCACTGTCCCGCGACTATGAGTCTTTACAGTCTGGCCGGTGGCGGCAGCCTCCATTTCTGGCTCTGTGAGAGTGCAGGGCATTGTTCTTTCTCCTTTCACGGGGTTATCTCCCTGGCCTCAGCTAACTTCCTCACATGCCTGTGCTGATCCACCTTCTGAGAGGGCCCCTCCAGGGGTCTCTCTCCTCCACGCTCTGTCCTGAGAGCTTTACCCACCTTGGTCTCCCCAGACTCTCCGTTATGTCTCCTCAACTCAGGAGTTCCCCAGACTCCATCTGGGTCCCCACCCCGGTCTGCATGCCACCTGCAAACCTTTTCTAGGCAGTGAGCTGGGGCGATCTTGGTGCTCACATCATTTATGTTCCTGTCTTTTGGGAATCACAGTGCTTCATTACCCACCCAATATCCAGAGCCTAAGCTTGGTTATTTTGGTTGTTTCAGGTAGGAAGAGACATCTGATCCCTGTTACTTCATCTCGGGCAGAAGCATAAGTCTAACAATTAGATTTTGCTGCATAACAAACCACCCAAAATGTGGTGGCTTAAAGCTACTATTTATTTGCTCATGTTTTGGCAGGTTGGCAATCGCGGCCAGGCAGTTCTGCTGGTCTTGGCTGGGCTAATGCTGGGGTCTGCAGTCAGCTGTGGGTCAGCGAGGTGGCTCTCCTGCTTGGACATTAGCTGGCTGTTGGCTGGAGTGACAGGGGCAGGGGCTATGTGTCTCTCATCTTCGGGCAGGCTAGCCTGGGCTTGTTCATATGGGGGCTGGGTTCCGAGAGCATAAGAGGGCAAGCCCCAGGAATGAGCAATATTCAAGTCTACTCTAGCATCACCTTTGGCCAAAACAAGTCACGAACTCAGATTCAAGGAGTTGAGAAAGAGTCTCTTGATGACGAGAAGGACAAGGTCCCCCTGCAAGGGCATAAATACGGGAGGGCAAGAATGTGTAGCCATTTTTAAGGGTTAGTCTTCACAGCTATTATTATTCCCCCACAAGCCAGGGGGTAGATCTTAGCCACATTTTGCAAATGAGAAAACGGGGGCTCAGAGAGGTTGAGGGACTTACATAGGATCTCCCAGCTAGGGAGAGGCAGAGTCAGGATTTGAATCAGCGTCTGTCTGAGGCTTTGTTCTAGTCACCGCACCGTGTGCTTGGGGTGGTGCGTGTTTGTGTGCGTGCGTGCGTGTGCATGTGTGTGTGCGTGTGTGAGATTCTGATTAGGTATATCTGTATTCACCACCATTATGTGTTCATCCCCCACCCTGGTCCTTGTTGCCCTGGGGCTGCCCATGCAGCTTCCTGACGCTCTCTCACCCTCTGTCCCCCAAAAGGAAAGTCCTGGCCCAGGGCCCCTCCTCTTGGGCCCCGTGGGGCTTACACACACTCAGAAGGAGACATCAGCGTGTCAGGGTCTGTGTGTAAGGGAGCTTGGAAGCGCTGATACACTCTGTCCCCACCCAGCTTGTTTCTCAGTCGGTTGGTCAGTCCCTTCCTTTTTGGGCTGCTCCCTGCCTCCATGGTCTCCCGCGTCCCCATTCCTCTTTCAGGTAGAAGACAGGTGGGCCCTCGAGAGGCCTGCGTTTGATCACACCCCTCTACCGTCTTTAGTCTTTCAGTGGCTTCTGATTTGTTTGGCCAGATAAAAGCTAAATTCATTTTCCCGGCACTCAAGCCCTTTATGATCTCATCCTAACCTACTTTCCCATCCTGTTTCTTACCACACATGTTCACTTGCTCCATAATTTAGCCAAGGACACCACGGCTTTGTCCCCTCTGGGCCTGGTCCCTGATCATCCTTCTCTGTCCCCACATAGCCAACTCCTACTCCCTCCTAGCACCTCCCACCTTTGCTCTAGTTTGTGGGTCACGTCTGATCGTTCCATTCAGGCCGCTCATTCTTGTGGGAACAGACCTTGTCTCTTCTGTGCTTGACCAATCGCAGGGCCTGCTGTGGTGCCCAGTATTCAGCTCGTATTCAGATAAGTGCCCTGGAGAAAGACTATTTAAAATACACCAACTTACTCTGCCCCCCGCCCCCGGGGAGGTCCTGCTGTCAGGTTCTGTGTGATACACCTGTGTCCTTAAAGTAAATTTTTCTTTTCTGCCCAAGAGAGTCTGCATGAGTTCCTGTTACTGCAAATCAAGAGAAGCTTGGTTAAGATAGGAAAGATGTGTGGTGTTTTAGCCTTCCTGGATAATAGTTATTGGAGTCTTGGAAACCTTAAGCACAGGGATGATTTTTAATGGTGAAGACCTTGTGGGGTAGAGGCAGTGAGGAGAAGAAGGTACTATCTGGGGATTAGAAGGGTATTCTCTGCTGCTCCTCAGATCCCGGTGGAACCTTCAGGGTGAAGTCTGGGAGCTTGGCGGGCACCCAGGGCCGTGGGTGACTGTCTGTGGCCCTGAGCTGCCGCCACTGATCTTTAGGAAATGACTTTCTTCTTCTTCTTCTTTTTAAGATTTTTTTTTTTCTTTTTTTTGGGTGCCTGGGTGGCTCAGTTGGTTAAGCGACTGCCTTCGGCTCAGGTCATGATCCTGGAGTCCCTGGATCGAGTCCCGCATCAGGCTCCCTTCTCGGCAGGGAGTCTGCTTCTCCCTCTGACCCTCCCCCCTCTCATGTGCTCTCTCTCTATCTCATTCTCTCTCTCAAATAAATAAATAAAATCTTAAAAAAAAAAAATCTTTTTTTTTTTTTTTAATTTAGAGAAAGAGAGAGAGCAAGTGTGAGCAGGGGGAGGAGCAGGGGGAGAGGGAGAAGCAGACTCCATGCTGAGCATGGAGCCTGACTCAGGACTCGATCTCTTAACCCTGAGATCATGACCTGAGCCCAAATCAAGAGTCACCTAGGCACCCCAGAAATGACTTTCTTCTAACCCAGGAACATCTCTCAGAGATCCTGAAATAGGGAATAAAAAAGTGGAGAAAAGTAAGAGATGAGGGAGAGAGAGAAAATGAGAGAGAGAGAGAGAGAGAGAGAATATACAGAGGTTGTTAGAAGGAACGGGCCCAAAAGAGTGTCAAAGGTTTCTTTGGTTTTGAAATATTTATTTCTACCATGGAAGAAATCTCACCCTAGACTGACCTAGTCTATGGCCAAAATACTGAAAAGCTGAAGAATATGGAGAATTTAGTACACCAAGCTAAGCAAATGTGGGTGAGTATGGATAAGACTGGGAGAATAATATCAAGATGGTTCAAGTGAGGGGCACCTGGGTGGCTCAGTTGGTTATGCGTCTGACTTCGGCTCAGGCCATGATCCCAGTGTCCTGGGATGGAGCCTTGTGTCAGGCTTCCTACTCAGTGGGGAGTCTGCTTGTCTCCTTTTCCCTCTGCCCCTCTCCCCAACTTGTGCTCACTCTCTCTCTCTCTCAAATAAGTAAATAAAATCTTAAAAAAAAAAAAGATGGTTCCAGCGAAATGATATCAGTTATTATACTAAAAGGCCTATAGCTTTTATTTCCTTATTATGAAAGTAAAGCCATATGAAAAGTTTACATATTATATAATATGTATATTTATAACTATCATATATTGTATGTTTTATGCACATTATATATAACATATTATAATATATTGTGCATAAAATATTATATTTGATATGTACTTAGAATTATATCGTATTACATGAAGGTCAATAATATTTCCTGTCGTGTGTGTGTGTATATGTATATATGTATATATGTTAAAGATTTATTTATTTATTTTAGAGAGAGAGAGTGGGCTCGAGTTGGGGGAGGGCATAGAGAGAGGGAGAGAATCTCAAGCAGATTCCCCATACAGCTCAGCGCTCCACGTGGAGCTGGATCTCACCACCCTGAGATCATGACATGAGCTAAAAATCAAGAGGCGGATGCTTAACTGACTGAGCCACCCAGGGGCCCCCTTATCATATATGCATTATAAAATTGAGCCATATGGAAAACCTTAAAGA